AGGCCCTTAACAACAACATCAAGTCACAAAAAGATATTTGTTGTTGGTAAGTGCCGTCGAGTCGGTTCCAACCCATAGTGGCCCTGCATATAGAGAAGAATAAATACTGCTAAGTGGCACTGTAGGATAAGCACTGGGCTGCTAACAGAAAGGTTGATGGTTGAAACCCACCAGCCTCTCCTCAGAAACTTACAGAGTTGCCATGAGTTGGAATGGAATTGACAGCACTTAAGTCAGTTTGAAAAAGCAACAAATTGAATGATTCCAAAAAGGTAAGCCTATGTTGTTGTTGTTGTTGTGTGCCATGGAGTTGGTTCCGACTCATAGCGACCCTCTACAGGGTTTCCAAGGCTATAAATCTGTACGGGAGCAGAAAGGCTCATCTTTCTCCTGCGGAACAGCTGGTAGTTTTGAACTGTTGACCCTGAGGTTACCAGCTCTGATAGCGTAGTGGTTACGAATCGGGCTGTGAACCTTAAGGCCAGCAGTTCGAAACTACCAGCTGCTTCGCGGGAGAAAGATGAGGCGTTCTGCTCCCGTAAAGATTTACAGCCTCGGAAACCCTGTACAGGGTCGCTATGGGTCGGAACCGACTCGACGGCACTTAACAACAACAACAACACTACCAGAGCTCCTTAGGTAAGCCTATAGGGACAGTGAAAAGATCAGGGGTTGCCAGGAGTTGCCGGGAGTTGAGGGGTAGGGGATATTCTATATGATACTATAATGGTAGACACATGACATTATGCATTTGTCAAAATCCTTAGGACTGCACAACACCAAGAGTGAGCTCTAATGTAAACTATGGACCGATTATGTATCAGTGTTGGGCCATTAATTGTAACAAATGCAAGATATTAACAGGAGAAACAATATGCAGTGAGGAGAAGGGGTATATGGAAACTCTACTTTCTGCAGTGTCTTCGGAAACTTAAAACTGCTCTTAAAAAAACAGTCTATTAAAAAAAGAAATTTGAAAGTTGAACTTGAGAAACCAGGCTGAAGCTAGTCTCCAACCAAGATCATTTCTTTATTTTGCTTTCTTCATTGTCTTGTCCTGCTAATAACTCACAGCTGCCACTCTTCCCCAGCTCAGCGCCATCACTAGGGTTGGTGCCACCCAGTGAAGTAACTCATGGGGTTACCACCCCCACCCCACTCATACAGGATTTCCCCAGAGCCACTGTGCACACCCTGGCCTCAGCCCAAAGGTACCCCAGCCTGGGGCTAGCCCAGGCCCCAGCAGCCTCCTCCTCCAGTACCAGCACCTGACCCAGTAGTGCAGTAGTGCCAGGGCTGTATCAAGGACAAGTGGGCTCTTTTGAAGTAGTTCAAAGTTATACACAAGAGCTCTGGTAGCGCAGTGTGTTACAAGTTCCGTAGCTAATTGTTGGAGAAAGACTCTCAGTCGCTCCGCGGGACAAAAATTGCTCTGGTAAAGATTTACAGCCTATGAGT